CCTCCTCCTCCTCTTCCTCCGCCAGCGCCGCCGTTCTGGTCCAAGGCGTCGAGCCTGCTGCGAGACCACGAAATCTCACGATCGGCACATTTCTCTCCTTCCATGTGGCTGCTGGCTAGCAGCAAATGGTGACTTATACTTTAGCGATTCTTTCTTTCAGCTGCCTTCATGGAGCGCATGCGAGGCTGGAGGATACATGCGCTGAAACCCCGAACTTCGGCCAGATCGGCTTGCAGGGTACTGGAACCAAGGCGCTGCCCCAGGAGACCTACATAATGTCAAAGGTTCTGGACCGCGTTGCCGTCGTCGCTGGATGGAGTTCGACGGAATTCAGTAATCGCAGCGCCGGCTGCACATTCCTCCTGCCCCCGAGATGGCCACAGAAGACAATCAGACGGATAGATGCACCACCTGCCCTGCTCCAGGGTCGCGGATTGGGCGTGTACTTTCGTTTCAAAAGCACGTCCTTCTACGCGCTCACGTTGTATTTCCCGCCCAAGCCTTCTGATCGTAAGTCGGTGCCGAAATATTTTTCTTGTTGTGAAAAACTGAGCAGATGGGCTTCGACGATGGTACGACAGGCCCCCCCACTTCGCCATCGTGTTTGTTATGGTTGATGTGAATGATGGGATGGGTTTGATGAAGCAAGATGGTCAGTGAACGGATGTGGGTGAAGAGACGGTTGGACACGGCGTCACACATGGGAAACATCTTTGGGGAGGAGGGCATCGAGTGCGGGAGATGATGGATGAGCACCGGATGTTCTCTGCAACTTCTCAGAAGGGCGTTTCCCAGACTTTCTTCGATGCGCACGGCAAGTCGAGCATGATTGACCATGCTACTCTTCCACTTTCACTGGCGGCAGAGATTAAGTCTCAAGGTCCTCTGCAGCGATTGGGTAGTCGCTTGCAGTACATTCCCGATGCACAGCTTCGAGACCATATTCCTGTTCACGTCCGTGCGGAGATCAATGCGGATTTTGGTCGGCACGAGAATTTCGTCAGGCACGGCCCGACCGGCAACCCCGCCACGCCGACGGTCTGGACGGCACCCAACTGAAATGGGACACTGATAAATTGATGCATGCTCTTCGCGGGCCCGATGAACGACATCGGTTCTTGACGGCGGTGGGGGCTCATCGGAAACAGAAGCGTCTACTGACATGAACCCCGCTGAGGCGATTCTTAGGCAACTTGATACAGCCCATCGAGATGAAGGACAGAAGTTGACAAGGACAGAGATGCAGAGATGTTCCTACAGAGACGGACCCGGACAAGGTTGAGCGTCTTCGACTTCTCGCGCTTCGACGTTCTCTTCGCGAGCGCATGCATTCATGTGATCCTGCGGAGCTAGAGGAGCGCAAGCAAAGACTCAGGTACATCGCCAAGACATGCACCAGAGCCCGCAAACAGTGGTTCATAATGAAGAATGAGGCTTTGGTTGAGGAAATCTATGAAGCCTGGCGGCACCGTGACCTTGCCAAGGTCCATCGTCTGAGTTTGAGGTTAGCCGGCGGCCGTGACGGAAGCGGGAAGCGGGATTTCTCCCGTTTCCAGGGTGTTTTGCCCACGCAGGAAGAATGGCTTGCGACTTGGTCCAAGCCTGGCGGAGAGGGGGGATGTCGGCTACTCGGTTGGATTGGGGGGCTCTGCAGAGGGATCGGAATGATTTCGCGCGCCCGCATGCTCCGCTTGCGTGCCGACGGGAGCGAGTGGCGCAGTCCTACCGAGACGCCATGGGCGACTTGGGCTTTTTCCATGCTTTCTTGAAGTCAGCCTCTCAGCGAAAGGGCGCCCCTCGGTGGTCGTTGCCCGCTGAGCTTCGGGGTCTTGGGGTTGGTGAGCCCCCCGAGGAGGGCCCTCGTCGCCGCGCTGGTTTAGGTTCGGAACTCCCACCGATTTTGGGCGAGAGAGTTAAGCTGGCTTCACCGAGTTTTTTCCTGACCCGTCAGGCTGGCCTCCTTCCCAGCTTGTGGCCCTGTGGCCAAGGTTTTGCTTTGCAGAAATGTGAGCCCCCAGGCCCCGCGGGCCGTAGGGCGGTGCGCGGGTTGGATCCTCGCGGGAAGTCTTTTTCGAAACGGACGATGAAACGTGGTCCTCCATACACCCATTCGGAGATGGACCATGGCGTCCTGAGGAGGCGTCGGCGTGAAGACGCCATCGCGACCAACCGTTGCACGTCGTGGCGTTTGAATAAGGCTGGCGCTTACTGGATCGACTTGCTGAAAGATCTTAGCAACGCATTCGCGTCTCCTGCATGGCCGGCCGTTGATGGTGCCGTTCTCGGAATGGCTCGCGGATCAGAGATGCGCTTCTGTCAGCAGCGCTGCAAGTTTGCGCGCGTGTCTATTCCAGCAGAGGAAGGCGACCTTCTCCTGCGCACTGGCTGTGGCATACTCCAAGGAGATCCGTTCGCTGTCGCGTCGTTCGCCAATGTTTTTCGCCCGTCGGTCGACCGCTGGATTGCGAGGCGTCGCCAGGAAGACCCATCGGAGCAAATG